CCAAAAATTGACAGCGAGCAATAAAGGAGTTTTGGAATGAGGCAGATCGGTGAGAAGTCATGTAAAGGTTAGAAGGTCGAGATCTTGTAGGTTTTAAAAGGAAGGTGATTGTTGATGATTTGGTCGATGAACGTACCCAGGAAATATTGTCTTCGGAAGGAGGCCCCGATCAAAAACGCAGCTGTTCATTAGTTTTTTCAGTCTATCGCGGAGGTCCACAGAGAGGCCATCATACACCACACAGCTGTAGTCAAAGTGGGGGAAATGAGAGAGGAAACTAGGAATCAACGCGTATGTTGAGGTAGGAGATGGCGGAAGCGATGAATTGTTTGAGGGTGGAAATTGTCCGTCGAGAGGTATGATAAATATGGTGATTCCAGAAGAGGTTTTGATCAATGAAAAATCCTAAATTTTTAACAGAGGAGTATAAGGAGATTGGCTGGTCATCAAGGTGTAGGATGGGAAAGTCGCTATGGGGTCTAAAAAGGGGCTTGGAACCAATGACAATGGCCTGAGTTTTGGCGGCATTTAACCTTAATCCATTTACATTTGCCTAGGACCTGATTCGATCTAGGTCTTCTTGGATCTTGGCAAATGCCCCTAGTAACTCAGGAGGGGAAAATGATAGGTAGATCTGTGAATCGTCTGTATAAAGGTGATGGGAACAATGGAGAATTGATTTAGGTAGGTCGTTAATGTAGGAGCTGAAAAGGAGAGGAGATATACTTAACCCTGGGCAACTCCAGGCAATAAAGAAAGGAAGGCAGATAGTAGTTGATTGGGTATGGAGTCTGCTTCGGTACGTTGTGAAAGGAAAGATTGAAACCAAGAGGTAAAACTATTGGAGAAGGATAATAATTTCAGTTTGTTGGAAAGGATGGAATGGTTAATGGAATCGAAGGCTTTGGAGAAGTCGAGAAGGATAAGGATAGTTAACTTTTTATCATCTATTGCAGTTTGAATGTCGCTGGTGAGGTCGGATTAGAATTTTTATCCAAAGGAAGGACAAAGGCTTTTTCCCAAGATGTAGGGAATATTGAATTCTGAAGGGAGAAATTGTAGTTGAAAAGTAGAAATGGGAGGATTTCAGGGAGACCTTATTCTATAAATTTGACTGGGATGCCATCTGGTGCTATGGAATTGGTGTGGTATTTTATTACAGCGGTTAAATGATCTGTGTAGGAAATGTCGGAAAATTAAAAGTTATTGTCGTTAAATGGTATCTCTAGAGGAAAGCCCGAACAGGAGGACAAAGGAGAGGTAAGGAGAGGTATTAGCATGAGATATAATATGCGAGTTTAGATCATCAGGGGATATTGGAAAGGCCTTCAGCAGGTATGTCAAGCTAGAGGAAATTAAGCGTAGATTTAACTAGAAAAGTTTTAATCAAGTAAATAAATACCATTTTAGTCAAAGTTTATTCTTTTGAATTATCCTCACATTATTTATAGAATTAGGAAGAGCCTTGACTCTTCACCGTCGTGGCAGCGATTATACGTTTGAAATTGGAATTTAACCTTTTTTACTGTTACGACAGTAGCGCTAAAGGTCGCTTCCAAAGACCTGAATATCAGAGGGGACCCTTAGTCTTGGACAACAACAAGTTGAACAAAGTTGAAGTTAAAAGAGTTAATGATTGAAGTAAAGTTACAAGAGTATTGGAATATGACTTGATGTGGTTTGGTGATGGCTGCCGTGTGGAGAGAGCTGCCGAAGAATCTGTGACTATAATGAAACTGCCTTGGAAAATTTTGGGGTAGGCATTTAAATGGGCTGGATGAAGACGTCAAAAAGGTAAAGAATTCTATTCGTCATCTGGGAAAGTAAAAGGGTTAAGGTTTGAAAGGTCGATAATCAGATATGGTTGTTCCTGACATTAAGATATCTATTAATACATATCTATTAAGATATTTATTATACATCTATACACCAGAGCAATCCAAGGGCTCTTTAAAAATATAACGGGGGCTATTAAAATAGGAGATAGAGTGTCTAGAAGCTTCCCCATCAACAAAGGATTGGAACAGGGCTGCTGCCTTTCACCTCTGATTTTCAACATTTATATAGAACAAGCCCTTAAAGACTGGAAAAGATCGTGCGGTAGACCGGCGGTGTTCAAATCGGGGAAGATGTCATCTATAATTTGCAGTATGCCGACGGTCAAGTCATAATCGCATCGGATACGGATGATGTGAGCTATATTATGAGAAAATTGCTGGACACGTATTCCAGATGGGGTCTGAAAATCAGTAAAAGTAAAACAGAGTACATGGTTTTCAACGCTCCAAATTTGCCGCTTGAAATTGATGACTGGACGCTCAATGTCAGCCAACAGTTCAAGTACCTCGGATACTGGCTATCTTCAAAGGGAGGTAGTGAGGTTGGTATCGAACATAAAATATACAATGGGGAAAGAATAATAAGTTCGACAAATTCAACGCTATGGAGTTAAGAAATAAGATTGGAAACTAAAAAGAAAATCTACCACCATTCCTTTGTAAAAAGCGTAGCCACCTATGCATCAGAAGCATGGAAAATTAAAATAAAGGAGGAAAATAGGTTGCTTTCCATGGAAATGGATTTCTGGAGTAGAAGCTCCCATATCTAGAATCAAGCGGATCCCAAACGCAGCAATTCGAGACAAAGTCGGATGTCAAAAGAACATCCTTCACCTGATCGAAACCAAAAGGTTAAACTGGTATGGCCACTTAATGCGGATGGATCAGAACCTCTGGCCAAAGAAAATTTATAACTATATGCCACATGAAAGAAGGAAGCGTGGAAGGCAAAAGAAGAAATGGATAGAGGGGGTAGAGGAAAGCATGGCAGCCAGAGGGCTCCGTGAAGGAGATTGGATGGACAGGGAGCAATGGCTTTTGGGTGTTGAGGATATGACTCCTTATGTTATAGAAAAACCCAAATATAAAAAAACAATGAATTTTTCACAGCTGTCAATATTTGCAGAGCTACCTAACAGATGATTTATTATTTATTTGGGAATAGTGAACGCTAATGATAAAACTCGGCAGCTATCACGACAGTACGTATTGAGTCCATATATCACAACTGGCTTTATCATAACATTTTAAAATTAAATTTTGATATCTTAAGATTTTTCAAGTTTTGAATATCTTCGATAGAGAGGAGTAAGGTCAGTTTGCGGTTAGTCCACGTTGTTATATTTATGACCTTTGGGCAGTCATTGAGGATATTGTATAACTAAGTAATTGAATTTGTCAACTCTCTCAAACAATTTATCTTTCAATGAAGATCTTGTGGGGGGTGACATTCTCTATTAACTGTCATATATTTTGCTTTATCTTTATTTACTTGGTCCTATTTGCTCTGTATCTCTCATCAAAGTCTCTGTAATTATCTCAATGTATTCTTGATTGCTTTATCACCTTGATATCTATAAATTTTATGATTTCTTCGGACGTGCTTCCTCCATTTTTATGTTCTCCATATTTTATTACCTTCTATTGCGCTAAGTTAAACATATTCGGCGAGAGTCCATCTCACTTCTGACTTTGTATGATTCAGATACTTCTTCTTGTATTAAGACTCGAAGTTTACTACTTTTTTTCAGCCTTTCAGCAATATCATCAACTTTCACCAACGGATAACAGCTAGTTCAATCTTGATCTTCCAGAGACAGTTTCTGCACTCGGAATCATAGGCTGCTTTGAAATCAACAATTAAGGCTGGCTCATCCTCAGCTACTTTCCACAATTTTTCGAGCATCTGTTTTGGAATCTGATTAAGCGTGCTTTCTCCTCTTCTGAATTCAGCTTGGTTATCGCCTATTATATTCTCCTAATACGAATATATCCGGTTTAGTAGATAATTTTAGAGTAATAAAAAATTTTCATGTAGTTCTGAACTGTTTTTAATCAATAATTCATTAATATTAGAATTAAAATATATATATTTATATGTTTATATAATAGAGGATTCAAATAAATCCTATCAAATCACCTTTATATCCTTCGTCGTAAACCTAAGACTTCCTGTCCTACAGTATTCTTTAGCTATTCTTCATATATCCCTGTTAAACAATCCCGATACCTAAGACTCCACCTAGACAAACCTCTAACTTAAAATCCTCATACCAGACTAAAAAGACAAGAAACCGCACGTCGTTTCGTACTTCTTCAGCACTTTCTAGACAGACGCTCTAAGCTCCCAACTAACTACAAAAGACTCATATACATGATTTGGACAAATGAAGTTGAGCTTTGGGGCTCCATTAAGTCATTGAATTGCTCTCGTATCCAATCCTTACAATCCAAAATCCTTCGTAAAATCCTCAATGTTCCCAACTTTATCACTAATAAAATCATCGATAACGAGTTTAATGTACTTATTATAACGAATGAAAATCAACCCGAATCGCCCTAATCCAGATATATATACTTCCGAAAAATCCTGTTTATAACCTTGCTTTCTCTTCCTGATAACCCTCCGAGACGACTGAGAAGAAGATGGCCTCGAGAACTTCTAATATAGAACTATAATTGGAGTGCTACCAATGGATTGTTTCTCTTCATGTTCTAAATGCGATTTTATCAATTTAAATTTACTTATTACATTTGTTAACTAATGCAGTTGTAAATTTTTATAAATATATTAGTTATTTTTTAAAAATATTTTTAGTTAGCTGTTATTCCACTTAATTTACTGTTACTTATTGTAAATATGGTGTGAACGAAATAGTTTATAACTTTTACTATTGTCCTTAATTGAGACTGAACTCAATATAAAAAAAATGTTTTCGCAATTACTTTAGTCTTGGATGAAAAAACTTAATTATTTCCTTACTCAAGTAATTTTTGTAACAAAATCAATAACAACAATATAATGTTATTATATTTTAATAGTAATACTTATTTGTTTGCAATCGCCTCTTTACCCTACACTTACGCGAATTAATACCTGTGATTTTGATGAACTTTCCTTGAAGATCAAATCGAGCATGTGGCATACAGACTGGACCGACGTAATGGTTGAAGTTTATTTTATATTCAAGGAGTAGGATTGAAAGATCAAAGTCGTATCCCCTGCTGCTATATCCTTCATGCTGAGCTATCTCAACCACTTTACGACTTTGAATTCTCTTGCCTCCTGGAAATGAAAGAAAAGTTTCAATATATAAATTAAATAAATGATCAAGATGAGAGGAGTGCAGAAGAATATGACAGGAGGGTTGGATAACTTCAGATTCCTTTTAGAATAATTTAGAAAAGAACATACTTCTCTTGAGAGACTATGCATAAGCCAAATGAGGAAAGGGCTGAAAGAATTGTTTTATTTTATATTTATTTGAAAAAAATGGCCATTTCTCATTAATATTTAATATGAAAGATAGTTGAATATAAAATATAAAAGAATTTGATAATTAACTAAAGGAAAAATAACAGATCGTTAACAGAAAAAGGTTGTAATTTTTATATTTTATATTTAGCTAAAATATAGAATACGAACATATTAGGAGTCCATATGGAATGAAATTCTACTGATTAATAAACTTAAAAATATTAAAAAATTTACAGAACAGTGGGTAAGTGCTGTAAGAGGAAACCGAAGAGAAGAAGTGGTAGTGACAAGGATTAGAATTGTTCATACTAATCTGACTCTTGTCCATTTAATAACAAAAGAGGGCCAATCATATTGCGATACCTGCCAGTCCCCGCTAACCATAAAGCATATAATAAAAGATTGTACATTACTGCATCAAGCCTTTGTAAAAAACAAAATACCCCGTTGTAGAGAAATATCATTAAATGACTTAGTAAATTCAATCGAAAATATTATAAAACTTTTTTTTTTTAATTTTTTTTTTTTTTTTGTATTAATACAGTCTGCCACACTGAAGGGCATTGGTACTAGGGCTATAGTATTCATTCACACAATATGTACATATGAAAGGAAAAAAATATATATATATAAATAAAAAGATAAAGTAATATACAAGATAATTAAAACAACAGATCAGCCGAATAATAACAAAACAAATAAAACAAACTCACATCTATGTACAATATTTACATTGGCCCAGGGGACTCCGAATCAAGCTTTGTCCTCCAACTGTGGAAGCCAAAGCAGGACTCCAGGAGATCCCAGTGCTTCTCTCCGAGCCACGTCACTGGTATCGTAAGCCAGTGGAGGCTGATGGAGGGCACTAGAGCAACAGACGCATTTTTACAATAGGTCGCGGGGCCGTTTTAACCTCCGAGGAGGATTGTAGGGATGACTGGAGGTAGATAGAGACTGTGCTACAGGATTAGGATGATGAGTGAGATTCTGGTGAAATTTGGAAAATTTGTCTGGGATTAGGTCAAGCATAAATGGTATATTAAGGTCATTGTGTACGGTTTTATTGGTTACATAAAAGGGAGCATCGACTATTGTTCGGAGAACTTTAGACTGAAAGGATTGAATGTGTTTGATGTTGGAAAGTTTTGCTGTCCCCCACACTTCGAGTCCGTAGGTCCAGATAGGTTAAGTAGTCTATATAGTTGGCCATATCGTCGGTTAAGCTGTTGTCTTTTAAGTCTGGTATGTGAGTTCCATGTTAGTCTTTTGTCTAGAAGGAAGCCAATGTACCGAACTGTGTCGGAGAGGGGAAGTGGTATGGAGTTGAAATAAACTGGTGGACACGGCTTGCGCCGAAGGGTGAGAGTGGTGTGTTTGGATTTAGATTCATTTACTTATATGCGCCACTTATTACACCAGTGTTCAATAAGAGAGAGGTGACTTTGTAGGTTAAAGGGTGTTGTTTCGGGATCTGAATTAGAAGATAGGATGGCCGTGTCATCAGCGAATGTTACCAGGGTTAGGAATATCAGCGGTAAATAGAATATAAAGGATAGGACCGAAGACGCTCCGTTGAGGAACTCCTGCCTGAATTGAATAACACTTGGAAATTCAGTTCCACAGCGGACTTTAAAGGAGCGGTTAGAGAGATAGGATCGAAGTACCAGATATAAGGACTGAGGTAGATAGACGGCGATTAGCTGGATGTCTAGTGCGTAACCATATTGATCTGGCACGGCGTTTGATATGGATTAGGTCAAGGAGATGTTGGGGTAAGTTATTTTTTTAAAGGATTTTCGTTGAGTGATTTGGGGAGGAAGCAGTCCAGACTGCTTGTTGAATCATGGTGGTAAAGGAATGTACGGCATTGTCAAGGTCTTCTGCGGTTTTCAGGGTTATTCTAAGGTCAATTTGATCGGAAAGGATTTGCTGAAAGAGTTTCCAGTTGAGTGGACCTCTGATGAACGATTGTGGGGAGGGTTTAGGAATAGGAGTTAGTGATAGTTGGAGTATTAGAGGACTGTGGTCTGAGGAAAGGTCATCAAGACGGGCAAGAGAATGATAGAGGGGACCTAAACCACTGTGGATGAAGAAATCAAGGATATCAGGATTGCGGATAGGATCAGTGGGCCAGTAGGTAGGTGAGTTAGGAGGAAGGAGGCAGAAGCGTTGGGAATTGAGTGCAGACAGCAATGTTCTACCACGAGAGTTCGTGGTTCTTGATCCCCACTGTTGATTACTTGAGTTTTAAATCTGCACCGCAGGATGAAATAATGCCAAGAATTGAGGAGGGAACTACAATTGGGCATTGGAGAAGGATTGGTTAGGAGGGCCAATACGCTGGATGCAACGGTAATAGAAAGGAAAGGTTTTGATTCTGATAGCGTGTGATTGTAGGAAATCGTTGGCTTGGTGTTGAGTAGGTGATGCTGAGAGAGATTGGTGTAACAAAGGCATACCGGCATGTGCCCAAACCGTCAGGGTGGTCAGTACATATGTTAAGTTACTGTGGGATTTTTAAACAACTGTATTTTTGGTCCAGTCGAGTTCAGTAATGAGGGCTACGTCCAACGTTCTTGTCTATTAGTAGAGCTGTATAAGTTCGTCAGTGTGGTTTCTAACACATTCGCATTCCGAAAGGAGAATGGATAAGGTTATGATGGGATTCATTAAAGGGATTTTTTACAAAAGGGATGAGATGAGTATACAAGATTTGTGAGGATGATATCAGATTGGGTACAAGGATTAAAGTCAGGTAAGGAAAGATGGCCAACAGACTGGTAAGATCCCGTGGCAAGTGATGGAGGGGAATATGAGGAATTCGATGTTGATGAGGGTTTGTTCATTAAGGAGGACAGGATGTTGACGTTGGAATTGGGGTCGCAGTTGCCGGCAGGGCCCACATTTTATCAGTCTGGTTTCTACCCCCCAAGTAACTGAAGAAGGAAACCTTTAGGGTCCACTTTTTAGAATGGTCCTCATCCAGGGTTGGGAAGTTTTCATTCTTTATTTTTGAGATTGTATAATTGATTGTTCAGATTTCTGTAGATCTCACAGCCTATTGTATTGGCAGGTTCCTTCCGAACATAAGAGCACATACAGCGGTTCTGATTTCGATTTTGTGCATTCGCCAGACTTGTGTGTCTGTCCGCATTTCACTCATCTTGGTATATGATGGCAGTAAGGCCTTGGTGTGGCCATATGCCTGACAGTTGTGGCACTGGACAATTTCTCTCTTAGTGTAAGGTTTTTCAACCTTAACACTTGTGCAATACAATCTTTTAATTTCATATATTTTATCTACTCCTTCAGACCGTTCCAAGTCAACGAAAAATAGAGGTAATGAAATCTTTATATTTTCCCCTGAGTCATCTCTGTTGTCCTTCATTACATTGGTGACCTGTCTTACTTTAAATCCCATGGGCGTAAGTTCGTCTTGTATCGCTTCAACTGGTGTAGAGGGGTGTAAGTTACGGATCACTACTCTCAGAGAGCGCTCTTGCCTGAGCTGGTATGTGTGAAAATCTGCCTTTGTATCGGTGAGATATTTAACTATTTGTCGATAAGCATCAGTTGTGCTTGGGGATATTTTAGTATCGCTAGTACGACTTAAGCAGGTGTAGCTCCCGGCAATTGTTATTTTATTTAGTTGTATGCACAATAACGAAAAGTTTTTTATATTTTTAACAAAAATCGGAGGAGGTCGAGGGTATTTAGGAATGGGTGCAAATTCCATAGACTCTTTTTCATTTTGAAGAATTTCAGAAGGATTAGGAGTAAAAAAACGTGATTCGGTATCTTAGAAGTACCAGGCTGAGATTGAATGACTACTGTTGTTGCCGGGGTAGCTGGAGTCGCAGGTGGCGTCATTCTTTTCGCTCGACGACTTTTTTGTTTCTCAGGAGACGAGCGTGGTGTGCATTTTTAGACGACATGACCTGATGAAAATATCGCATAAATGAAGGATCATATATATATATATATATATATATATATATATATATATATATATATATATATATATATATATATATATATATATATATATATAATAATAATAAGTAAATAAAAAAGATCGTCTGCTTGAACTTGACCTTTAATTAATCAACGGCGTGCAGACCGTAGAACAACTGCACCGCTGAAGAGCAGCAGGCCAACTGACCTGATGATATCTAACTACGTGGCACTATGGCGAGATTAGGAAGTTATCCACCTTAACTTCTATTCACTGTTCACAACAGTACACAATAAATAACAGCTGTACTTACAGTAGAATTAGTTCATGTTTTGGTCTAGGTGATTAACTGACGTGTTGACACTGTTTTAATTAAAACTAACACTATTGACACTATAAAACTAACGAAAAATGAATATTTTTAAGAGCTGAAGTACGGGTCGACTGATACAATCTACCGCATGCGCAGCTATAAAACTTTAAAAAACAAAGCAATTGTGCCATAGAACATATTAATTAACGCAATACATGAAAAGAACCTTTTTTTTTTATACATTCACAAAGATAAGTTACAAATAATGACTTCATAGCTTAAGGGCGTAATAACCAAGTAGTTGATCGCCTACGACAACCTAAACTGACCAAAGGAATGCGAGCGCACCCGAGCTCGCCCGAAAGATTAGAACACGCTTCCATACTTAACATGAGCTTAATATCATACGGACTCCGACAGTATTATCTAAATTTACATATGCGGTTTTCGTTTGGTATTGTTTAATATTTAATTGTATACATCACAGCGATATAAATATTAAAATTTGTATTTATAAGGGTACTTATACAAAAAAAAAAATAAATACCACAATGAAATATAAATACATATAAGCGCCTATAATTTTCACTTTCACTCTCCCTTTGTCTGAAAATACTTATTTCTGCTGAGAAGATGGTGGTAAGTGAGAGTTATGTGATGCCGCACCGCACCAGGTTTTCTCATTTACGCCAGAACGCTCCCCTCCCCTCCCAAAGTTATTATCTTATGTTTACAATTGTACTCACTCCAAACTTTTTTGTAATATTTTCCAAGAAAAACTAAGATGAATTCGGGTAAGGTGCCGTCAGTGCAATGTGCGGCAGTGAGGACATGATATTCGGTGATGATGGATCCACCGCATCCGTTGCTCAGGTGCACCATCCAAGGATACTCGTTCTTACCAGTCGGCTTTCCGTTGACGATCCTTTTCTGGAATAAAAATTATCGGATATAAAATATGGACAGCAGGATCACTTAATAGAAGAGTTCTAGAGGCGAAGTTACCGTGTTCCTCCATCCACAGCTGCAGGTGTAACTTTGGCTAGCGACCCAGCTAACGCAGATTACCATCAAACACACCAATCTCTTCATTTATGCCTATTTAAATAAAAAATCGCTGCAAATTATTTCACAATGGTTTATTATTTCCAAACAATTATACATCTATTGTAACATTACCTTCCTAGTTACAATGAATAATAAATAAAAGGTGATTCCAATTATTGGACTAAACTTTTTTTTTTTTTAATCATTAGGAATATGCTTAAAAAATAGCATTACTTCAGTAACACATTCAAAATTTAAAAACCAAAACAAACTATATAACATTTGCAGTAGAACATACATAAAAAAAAAAATTCCAGTTTCTTTTCGTTGAAGTATGTCATATAGATAAATTTGAAGGGCGTCGATAAGCAAAATTTCATTGAAATTGGTACATTGGTTTAGGCGTTACAGCAACGAAGGTTTTTCGGCCGCCATTTTAAAAGTAAAAGGCGGATAGTAATGTCGATGAAGGAGGATGATCCTCGGGTGACCTCTGATTTTATATCCAAATATGAAAAAAATCGGTACAGTAGTTTCGGAGAAAATGCGCTGACGGCGGACGGACAAAAAAATTTTTATTCGTTTTTCGAATTCTAATTATCCTGAAATGAGACACCTCAAATTTCGAGAGGGGGTTAAGTTTTTGAATGTTTTGGTCGATGACAATGGTTCATTATTAAAAATAATAAACCATTATAAATAAGCAGATTATTAGCACTAAGATAAGATGTGATGTACTATTGATAAGCGATAATATACCATGTACATACCTATGCTGATTTTGGGATATGCTAACTATGCTGACTAGTGAACATGAGAAAACATGGAAAAGTGTAAATTTAAATAACCTAAAATCTTTTCTTTCACTTACCTATATATGTAATAAATAGTATGGATAAGTATTACGTTTTGAGGTCCCTTGAGTCCGTAGATCCAAGTCCCACGAAATTGTCTGTACTTGTGTGTATGTATGTGAGCAGTCTAGCTCAAAAAACGAAAAGTCTTACGAAACTGAAGTTGTGTGTGTGAGGTTTTTATAAGCCTGGGATGTTACAGCAACATTTTCGGCAAACCGGAAGTTGTACTCGAAAACGGCTGGAACGATTTTGATTAAATTCAGTATATCAGTTTTTAATATAATATAGGTTTTATTATCATTGATGTTCTCTAACGGGGCTTAAATGACTACTTTTAGCTTCCTCTAAAGTACCTTTATTTTTTTCTCATTTGAAATAATTAATCATTTCACATTAATCTTTGATATAAAATAGTTGAATATAAAAAATTAACAAATTTTATAATTAACTAAAGGAGAAATAAAAGATTAACTGATAATAGTTGCACTGGAGTAACCAAGGAATATGAACGCGCCCGAGCTCTCCCAAGCTCATCCCAAAAATGCGTAGACTTTGTAACGTTCCTTTAAACGTTAACTTAATGTTAAAATTATAATCAACAAGGCCTTACCCAGTGGAGGGAGAGTGAGTTCTTCCATATTATTTCTTCTTTATAGGTATTATTTTATAATAATTTATAACATATACATCATCAGCTAATTTATTTATAATAGGAACAATATAAACCAAAATTTCACACAATATAATCAAAACAACGTTTACAGTCCATATCACAACTCTTGATCTGTCTATATCCTTACTTAAGAAAAATAAAAGTCAATCTAATCTAATCATAACACCTGTTATTTTTTCAAATTCTGTCATTTAACCATTTTGTCAACTGTGACACTTCCATAGCTAACATGAGCTTAATATAATACGGACTCCGACAATATTATGTACGTACACATTTGCGTTTTCCATAAATGCTGCTGTTGGTATAATTTAATATTTAATTGTATAGATTACAGCTATCTTAAAATTAAAATTTGTATATTTCACGAAATTTTGTATAATTAAACAAATACAAATATTCCCAATGAAATGTAAATGAACATAGCGTCTATAATTTTTACTTTCACTTCCCCTTTATATGAAAATACTTATTTCTACTAGGAAGCGGGTAGTAAGTGAAAGTCGTGTGATGCGCGCACCAGATTTTTATATTATACGTTTTGATGATTGGCCGTATCTTTGATAAATCAAATGAAGAAGGTCGAGTTATAAGTCTCAAAAAATATCATGTTACAGCTAGCTGGAATAAAATTTTGACATTATTTGATGAAAACTTTAAAAGATTTTATTTGAATTTTTTTTTAATTTTATTTATATTTAAAAATGAGAGTCTGCTAGTCGGATCTTGCTACGTTTAAAAATCACGGCTAATATTAGACCAGTAACTTGAGTATCGAAACGGAAGATACATTGCGACAAATGTGAGAGAAGTTTTTATTTTTGTAACTTGTATAAAACAAAATTGCCAACGCAGGCCACAAAGGCAAAATTTTTTACATAAAAAACCCCCCAGATTTTTTCGATCTTTTTTATTTTTTTCTGCTATAATTAGTGTTCTCCAAAAACGGTTTGGTCTTGCACTTTGCAAGACCAAGACCAAGGCCGCCTAACTGTTGCAAGACCAAGAGCAGGAATGGTAAAAAAAAAATAGATTTTTTAAATAAAAATTAAGGCAAAATAGTTACTAATACTTGACAATCTTAGTTACTATATGTTAATAATTGGTTTTATTTGAATACTTCCCGTTAAAACTATTAACATTTTAATTAATATCGCCCAACTTCGTGAAATATATCCTTAAAAATGGTTTGTACTAACGACGAGATTATGCAGGCTGTTAAAGAAATAAATACAAACCTGGAAAAGAATAATAAACTAATGGCCGAGGTAATTGAGGAGTTAGATACATTAAAAAAACATTGTATCCGCTTAGAGGAAAAAAATACTCGATTAGAACGAGAAATTATATATCTAAAAAGACAATTAAGGCGGAATAATCTCGTTATACATAACATACCAATGACGGAAAACGAGGATGTGTTAGATAAAGTAAATGATTCCTTAAAAACTGTCAATATTGCACTACCAGAATATGCCGTAAATAACTGCTTCAGAATAGGAAAGGGCCCCATATTATTGTCATTAAATAACAACTCCATAAAATATGAAATCTTTAAGAATAGAGATGCACTAAAATCAAAAAAAAATTATGTGAGCCATGACAAAATCCCCCGAAGATCATCCTGATCCTCACGCGTAATACAAAAAAGGTCTTTTTAAAACAAGAGGGACTTTATACGCACTCAATGAAGTAGAAGCACTGTTAGAGAACTTCAATGATGACCAGCAAGAGTTGGAACCCTCTCAAGCAGCAAAAAGAAAAAAAATAGAGGAAAAATTGGGTGAGAATAAGTTCAGAAGCTCATCGAAGGATTACACCTCCCCACCTGACCTTTTGCTTATGATTATTCGTTGTCATCTAAAATAATAATAAATGCTAAAGCTGAAAGGCCGGCGAATTTAGTCTATTATTCACGAGTTACCTTGTAATGTAATAAGTTCACACGATTACACCTGTGGCCCGCAAGTTTAATAGAAAAGTCTGAACCCTGATAAATGAATGAAGAGATCGTGTAGTCGTTTCTGTTGACACATTAAACCTTGACAATGTTGTAAAAACATTTACACGCCTCATAAATTTAATGACTCACATTCAATATTTACACGCTTCACAAATTTAATGACTTATTCAATATGAACAGGCTTTCCAATTAAATACAATAATTGGTTCATCCTGGAATGTCATTAACAGAACATTGTGGCTTATGCACAAACAATGATAAAAATTGTGGTCCTTGGAGCACACAACCTTCACTTACCCTCTATACTTTGGATAGAAATTATTTTCTGGCAATGTTGAAAAATTATAAAAATTTTTGAAGTGCATTTTAAACGGAGCTAAGGCTTAAAGTTTTCAGATAACAAATCATTAAGACCATTAAAATTAGAAAAATTCTATTTATTATATCGACGGTAGACAATAAAAATCTAGTTTTAAAAACCACATTACTTCAGTCTCTCAGCCTTTCAGTTGACAGAATGACTAACTAAATTCGATTTCAACATTTTTGATTAATGTCCTTTTTAGTTAGAAAAGTTGTATATACCTATAGTTATTAATACCTATATACAGACAGTGAGTAAGTTGATTCCAGAGTTAGGTGATTGCAGTGTTACTAGAAATACCACAAAATTAATAACAAAGAATGTTGAAATTGGAGTTTGTAGGATTCTTATAATAATAAAATCACACAAGAGACCCATCGATATAATCGTTCATCCAAGATGGAGGTTTTCTATTTCTGCAAGGTCGACCTCCTGAAGTTTCCACTTCTGAAATCTTCCTGGGAGTAGAAAAATCTTCTATCTGATGCTTGGGAGTTGTTTGTTCAGGTAAAACTGAATCCATCTCATGACCAGTTGGAAGCTCGGTTTCAGATACAGCCATCTTCTTAGCTGGAATAAAATATTTGAAACAACTTGAGTCTTGAGACTCAACAGTCATCACGTTTCCGGATTTTTCAACTACTTTGTATGGAATGTGGTAATGTGTAGGTGACAACTTGTTTGTCTTAATGTCATGTTTCCTAAGAACTAAATCGCTTTTCGAAAACTCTTTTTTTACGCTGCTCCAAAGAACAGTTCTCCTGACGGTACTCCTTGGTCCTCCTTGGTCAACCTTGCCAATTTGAATAGTTTTATTTTGTCTTTCAACAGCCCCATTGGCTTGTGGCCAATAAGGATGGGAATGGTATAAATTAATATTGTTGGAATGATAAAACTGTAAAAAGTCATTGGAAGTGAACTGCTGACCCATTGTCAGCAGTAATGGATTCCGCCAGGCCAAATCTACTGATCAGTTTTTTCGAACTATTCTATTGTCTTATTCGTTGTGATCGTTTTCATTATTGCCACTTCTAGATAACGGCTATAATAATCTATGATCACTATCAAATAATCAGCTGGGGGAAGAGGGCCAATGAAATCTACTGCAGCATCCATTCATGGAACTTCAGGCATTTTTCTTCGCGACATTGGCTCTGGTGATGGAGAAACTCCAACCAAATGGCATAAATGACATGATACCACCATCTTTTCAGCAGCAGCATCGATACCTGGCCACCAGACCTTTTGCTTCATGGCTACTATTCCAAGATGTCCTTCATGGGCTAAAGTTAATGTTTTCGATCCAGAGATTCTGAAATAATTATTCTTGGAAAACATCTAAAACCAAGGAAATCTCACCTTCAATACTTTTCAACTTGATGAGTCGGTTTGGGCAATTTCTGGACCCTAGACAGTTACATACTAGACAGATTCATGATGGCAGGTATGTCAGCTCAATAAACATTTCATATCGCTAATGAACAAGATTCACTCCTGAATGTCTGGAATAAGCTTGGACGCCTATATAAAAAAAAAATGTTTGAGAAAATTTTGGGAACAGAAGAGGTGCTGTTTCGGTGGTGTTTAAATTTTATCGAATTTCTTCCAGTACCTTCGCTTTCGTATAGCCAAACGTTTTCCATATTTCGAAAATAACTCGATCGATTTGGCCTAAAGTTGGAGAAAAAATGAATGATAGTATAAAAATGGCCCAACATCAATTTCATATTATTCCATTTCACAATTTTTTTTTTTTTAGAACTTTTTTATTGAGAAATATTACCATCTGTCTCAAAGGACATTTATAATAGTGTTCAGAGATCACATTCGCACTCTATGTGCAATGAACAAAAAAAAATTATACAGAAAAATGATATATATACAATAAATAAGAATAAAATAACCTAAAATAAAAATATAGGCCAACATTATTAAATGAGATAAATTTATATTATAATTAGTCCATATTAAATGTTATACATTTTTAATTGGACAGGGCAATTAATACGCAAAAATGTAAGGGAGATGGTGACGAGGAATATATTTATCGTTGACAATTGGTGTACTATTAATAGTAGCTCATAAAATCATATATTGAAATACATTATAGTATATAAAAAAATGTTTTGGTAAGTTCTCACTCGTTATATGACTAAATAATGAGCGACCAGAGTTGTAAATTATCTTTGTTTAATTGTTATTTGTAGATGCTTTAATAATGAGATAATCAGCTCGAAACGTCGTCGGAAGTAAAATAAAAAATTGTTGAAAATATAAGGGCTTATATATATTCCTTGAAGACAACTAAAAATCCATTTATCAATTGAAATTAATTTTATAGAATATATGGGGTGTGAAATGTTTAGTACAAACCCATTACCAGTATCTATGCAGCCTCCCCTCTTTTTGTTTTCGTGATAAGTATTATTATTATTTTCGACGAGGTTCTCTCAATTGTCGATTGGATGATTGCCAAGAATATGATATAGAAGAGACAATTACTAGCAATAAGAAATAAAATGCTGAAATACAAAGCAATATTGATTCAATCGATTTTTTAAATAAATGAAGGTTTTCATCGAACATAAAATAAACAATGGGAAAAGAATAATAAGTTCGACAAATTCAACCCTATGGAGTTAAGAAATAAGATTGGAAACTAAAAAGAAGATCTACCACCATTCCTTTGTAAAAAGCGTAGCCACCTATGCATTAGAAGCATGGAAAATTAAAATAAAGGAGAAAAAATAGGTTGCTTTCCATGGAAATGTTTTTCTGCAGGAGAAGCTGTGGCATATCGAGAATCGAGCGGATCCCAAACGCAGCAATTAGAGACAAGATCGGGTGTCAAGAGAGCATCCTTCACCTGATCGGGACCAAAAGGTTAAACTGGTATGGCCACTTAATGCGGATGGATGAGAACCGCTGGCCAAAGGAAATTTATAACTATATGTCACATGAAAGAAGGAAGCGTGGAAGGCCAAAGAAGAAATGGATAGAGGACGTGGAGGAAAGCATGGCAGCCAGAGGGCTCCGTGAAGGAGATTGGATGGACAGGGAGCAATGGCTTTTGGGTGTTGGGGATATGACTCCTTAAGTTGTAGAAAAACCCAAATAAAAAAAAATGAAGGAAAATATATTAAAGAATATTCTTCCTCTAACAACGTAAATGCAATTACAGAGTTTTGTCTACTTATATTAAACTCATACATAGTAATTTAAAGTTCTAGCAGCATATATTAATCAAAACTGTTAAAATTAAGTTAAAATCATGTGGTAATTACTATGGAGTGGATTGGGAAATAAATAAAGATGATTTAGTTAAATAAAAATTTATTTAAATTTAAACATATTTCTTAAGCTCTCAATTAAGGCTGTCCTCTGCTTAGACTTTCGTGCAGACGCTTACTTCAGGGTGGCTTCCTGAACAGAAAATGAAACAGCATTTTGTAACATTGGCATTAGGAAAATTCACAACTCATTAGTAATGCACAGTCTGTTTTCTTACCTGCAATAGCCTTCTGGATCCAGCTGTTGAAAGCATACACATCGGTATTCACTGAAGGTCTTGGATCACTTCCACAAGCAGTAGGTCCATAGGAGACCAAAGCCACTTGGGTGAACCTATTGGTGGTTGGATCCAAGTATACCAGAGGACCGCCCGAGTCTCCCTGAGCAGACCAAAGAGTCAATTAGTGCTTAGAATATCAGTTCATTAATAGTAAATAGATTACAAAATACCGTATCAAAAATAATACACACCCCCCCCACACACACACAAACACACACAAATTTTTAAGGTAAGAGGATAGCAATTGGTGGTATCGCCATCGAACCTTTTATTTCTTTAGACCTTTAATATAATAATATAAAAAAAATATTGCTTTAACATTACATATTATGTTGACGTTTTAGGGAAATATTCCCCATCATCAGAATATTTTTTCTCTGAATTTTAATTATTTACCTAATTTTATAACAAAATTATTTAAATTGTAAATATCCTTTCATAGATTTTCCTTAATGTTATCTTAAGTTTTATCAAACTAATATTCAATTTTTAAAAATTATTAATTTTTAAAACCAATTAATTTATTTCTTTAATATTCAATTTATTCACCATTACTCCTGAGGCTCCTGTTGTCATTTATTAAAATATTGGTTGCTACATTGTTTTGTTTTTTAATGTTTACATACTCAGCAATTTTACATAGTTATATTTACTAACGACAAGAATATTGTAACATATATTTTTAAAATTAACACAATCTGCCACATTGTGTTAATATTAAGGGCCATAAATATGTATTAAGGGTATATTGGTGATTCTCAGATTATAGGCAGTTTTCATGAAAATTTTTAAATGAAAATTTTTACGGCGTTTTAATACAATTTTCTAAGTAGCTACACCTTATATTGCCGCTGAGTTTTATCTGAGCAAATGGTTCAAATAAAAAGTGTTTTTATCTCAGTAATTAAACGCATATATCAATCACAAAGTTCTTAACTCGGTTCTCGCAGATTATATATTATATATATTTCACTATCAAAGATAGCAACGTGAGGCCACTATTAACTTCCTCTGCTTGTTAAGCTTGCGCCCTTTAATACTGTTGGGGTCCATACTTATCCCTTGGGCCAAACCTTAGCAGTGATTCCAGAGCCTGAGGCCTCCGAAGATAAAAGTGGGAAGAGGATTCACGAAACTGTCAGCGAATGCCTTGGATCGGATAATGAAGGCTACGCCCCAGTAGCCAAACGCCACACGTTTCCCGCCCGTACCGTCCCGGAAAAGCCTTCCCAGATCCCAATTGCCAAAAAAATTTCCGTGTTGAGAGAGAATCTACCGGAGAAAAACAGACACCCGCCAATCATCATAGCACCTCCGATAGCCCAGGCAACGCTGAAAAATATACTGCTCGAGAATAATACAACATTATTCTCTATCAATTCATCATCAAAAGAAACTCGGCTGTATGTCAACTCCGAGAATGACCACTTTCAAGCCACTTTACTGTTGTGCCAGGACGATAGGGTACAATTCCACAGTTTTGCTCCCAGAGGCACTAAGCGATCTCGAAAATATGTGCTTCACCGATTCGATATTGATTTCCCCGTCGAGGAGATAGTCAAGGAGTTAAAAACCAGATTACCAGGATTCAGGCTCGCCCGAAGACTCACAAAGAGATACAACCCGAATGAACCACCAAAACCTATCGAGCTGATCCAGATAATTACAGACGACTCGGTCAAGCAAACAGACATTGCTAAACTGTACTAAACATATCGCAGTGTAAATTTCGTGTGAGCATCTTTAGAGAAGCAGCACAGTGCCGAAAATGTCAAGAATATGGACACACTATGAAATATTATGGCCAAACATGTGCGTGCTCCTGGTGTGGAGGAGTCCATACCCTTGAACAGTGCCCGAAGACAGTACCTCCCTGGTGTAAAAACTGTAAAGGTGCCCACCCCACCTCCTCCAAAGAATGCTCGAAGTGACAGGAGAAAAGGAACACCGACGGAAACGAATACCAGTAAACAGAGTAAGTGGGTCCAGGAGGGCCTGGCATACAGCACAGCAAGCGGAGGAGCGCCGATCCAATCAGAAGGAACCTCTCCCACTACCAGTCTCATCCCCACCACCAGCACGCCACCCAGTTCAAGGAACAGACTCCAGCAACGCAATCGCCTCAGCCTTCAAAAAGTACCGATTCCTCTCTGACTTCTCTAGTGATGACGATGCTGACAAGAATGGACAAGCTGATGAATATAGTTGCCCGCATGCTGAATGCTATGACGAAGAAGCATCATGATTAATCATCTCGTCATGAATTTCAACGCCAGAGGCCTCTTCCAGAAACAGGCTGAAATCGAACTCCTTCTTCAGCAGCATATACCTTCAGTGGTGGCGCTGACAGACACCATGCTTCACACCTCGACTCGTCCATACTTCCAGGGGTACACTATATACCGAGAGGTGTGTGCACCAGTTTCTCGAGAGGGAATAGCCATCCTGGTCAGAAAGGATGTACCTTCGAGGTCCGTCCCGAACCCAGTGGAACCAACCGAGGGAACTCACTTACTCACAGTTGACGTGCGACTTAAGAGTCGGTTCACATTCACCTGTATTTATACGAGACCCAGGGCTGGACTGACATCTGTTAAGCTACTGCTACAACATGCCCAGGTGACGGGTCGGCATGTAGTCCTTGGGGACTTCAATGCTCGACACACTTCCTGGCTGTGTGGTAGCGACAATCCACTGGGGAAGTACATCACCAAGACTAGGTTGGCCGTCTTTCACCCAGGTGTACACACTTTTCGGCATTCAGCCCGACCTGATTAGACATCAACACTGGACCTGCTATTAACCAGGGATCATGATTACACGATCGAGGGCACACCCGCCAAACCACCGGCGAGTAAATACTTACTCCACAAGGCCGACTGGAAAGGATACAGGTCTAGCGTTGAATCCACTTCACCGGCGGTAACGCCGTACCAGACAGTAGAAGAGGTAAACGAGGCGGTGGATGTCATCACCACCACTGTCCAGGACTAGGTTTGCTCCGCAGCCCAACGCCATCTGGAGACCACCACGTCACATCCTCGCCCTGATCAGTCAGAGGAACAACCTGAGGAACATCTTTCAGCGCACGCATGACTACAGCTTAAAACCGGCCATCAATGCGATGACCCGGCAGATAGCCTCATGCGAGACTGGAAGACCTCACTCTGGCATGACCAGCTCCGGAGGACTCGTGATGACCACCTCTAGTTCCGAAGACTTGTCCGAACGTTGGTTAACAAGAAGAGGACTGTCCACCTGACGTCGGGGAATGAGCTGCTGACACCTAAGGAACAGGCTGAATTCCTGGCCAAAAGCTATGAAGCGAGGGATGCTGAGCGGACGAGAAATGCACCACCAATACCGGAAGGACCACTGCCCAGTCCCAACGATGAACCCGTCTTCTCTACCTTCAACCAGCTGGAGTCGACACTACGGCGCACCAAAGGAAACAAAGCGTCTGGACTGGATGAGATTCAGTATGTACTGCTGAAGATGCTCCCTAGGAAGGGTAAAGCCTTTCTACTGAACATATTCAACTCATGTCTTCGAATCTCATACTTTCCTACCGCATGGAAACAAGCGATCGTTGTTGCGATCCGTCGAAAGAGGATCGTATTTATGTATTATTTTTGTAGAGGGCAAATTATTAATTGACTCCGATCATTGGGTATTTGCTCATCTTCTCATATAAGAATAATAAGGCTGTGTAGTTATGTTTTTAACCTTTCCCTGCCATACTTCAAAAGGTCCTCGAACCCGTCCATGCCAGAGGGCTTGTTGTTTTTCAACTTTAAAATGGCATTTTCAAAATCTTTTTCTGTCTTCTGTGTTATCCCCACTTGGTCTGTCGTCTTCTTGAGAGAGGCCTGATTTTTCTTTATTAATAAAGAGCTTGAAGTGCTGCACCCATCTATCTAGCACGTCATTTTTCTAGGTAAGAAGGTCTCGTTGGTAAGAATTTTCCGTCTTCTGCTCTCCATGATGTGATGCGAGGGTTGAAGGTTGTTCTTCCTTCATTTACTCTTTTGTGCTTCCAATGATGAGACGAAGTAGCGAGACTTATTTGGCCATTGTCATTGTAATGGGTAAGTAATGGGTTGATAACACACATCTCTGCCAGCTTAGGACAGGTTGCGAGGGTTCTTTCAAGGTCATCATAAGACTGTTCGTTTTCTTCATCTTCAGCAACTTCCGTCTATGCATAGCAATTTATAAAGATGTAGTTAAATAATCTGCCTTTTATTCTAATTTTGGGTACTTGTGAGCGACGCGGCCTCTATGGACTGCTATCTACAATTATCTTGTTATTTAATGTGTTGTTATTTATATTTCTTATTATTAAATTACTATATTAAAAAAGAGGCAACACCAAATATTTCTTATCATACGAGAGTATAATTTCAGATGAAGATAGGAATTATCAGTGCCTTTTAACAATTATCAGTGTTGAGGTTATAAACATTTAATAATAAGAAATATAAATAACAACATCAACACTTTAAATAACAAGATAACTGCAGATAGTAGTCCATAGAGCCCGCGTCGCTCACAAGTACCTAATTTTGTAGAACGAGGGGCTAATAGAGCTGAAATCAATCACTAGCTGACGGGCCCTTCTTCAATAACTATGAATCCTGTGTCCATGATGTACAGCTTATCGTGACTACTATATTAGAGAGCTTGGTATTCCTTCTCAGTTGATGTTCCTACATCCAGAGAGACTTTCTAGGGAAGGTGACCGAACCTAGGTTGTGTACTTTTAGGCTACACCCCCTCCCCTCCCCCCGGGGAGGAGGACGGGAAAATTATGCCGAGTTAAAATCCCACCGAGCAACGGGATTTGAACTCGTAATGGTTTATTGATTTCAAAATTTCGCTTGTCATGTTGCTGGGCAACGCACGGAGCTTGTGCACATGCGTTAGCTTGTCGTCCACCCCGTCTCACATCCTAGGGTGCTTATGTTTGTGCTCTTTGTCTGTATGTGTTAGGTGTATGGAGTGTGTGAATGTCTGTGTACTGTTTCGCCGTACTGGAGTACCAGTGGTCTGATTGCACACTGATGACTGGACGATAGGATCGCCAATTCCCTACGCCAGGAAACAGTGCAATAAAGTATGTGTGTTTTTTTAGTTTGGGAACTTTTAACATTGATTTATTTATTAATCAATAACCCAACATAAACATACTGAAAGTTACTTACGTTGCAGGAGTCTTTTTTTACAGTATAAGCACAGAGCTGTGATGGTGTTTTGTTGAGTGGCCAGCTTCGTTTGCACACACTGTTGCTTATAACTTCGACGTCCACTTCCCGAAGGACGTTTTCACTGCCTGTGCCTTTGGTCAAACCCCAACCTAAGCGAAATACAAGTTTTAGTTTTAATAGCAATGGTTGCTGGCAATTGGTCATATCCAATTCAAAATAACAATACCTGTAACCTTGACGAACTTTCCTAGCAGGTTCAGTTGACTGTTGGGCATACAGACTGGGCCGACGTACTGGCTGAACTTGATTGGAGTGGCAAGAACAAGAATGGATATATCATTTATAGGGTTATCGTTATTTTCATAATAGTCCTTATGTTGAATGATCTTAGCTACGCGGTGATCTTTCATGTGCTGAGTATTTTCTAAAAAAAAAATAATAAAAATATAAAGCATAAATATTTCCATTGCTGTACAAAGTATATAATTTATGAAAATATATTTTTACTTTTCATTAATTATATCTATCGAAGCATTTAATGCCAGTTGAAAATCGTACTACAACTTCAATAATAGTCATTGAAAGTAGGAGTTTCAAAAAGTATGACGGCGCCAAGTTGATCGATATGGTAGAAATTGTGTTATATTTTGAACTACCAAAGTTATGCTTTGAGGAAAACAGCTGATAGATTATGACGTAGAATAGTCTTGATGAGGTTGCAGAGCATTTAGCCCAGTAATCTTGTCATGAAAAGGGGATTCGAAAAAAAAATTTGGTGTGACTGGAAAGCAAACCTCAACATTTTGATCTCGTTGGCTCTCCGAACCACTTTTGAAAATTCCCAAAACTTCTATATTTTCGCATTTTTTTTTTTCGGTTTTTCGCCATTGACCATGAAGGAGCTTACGTTTTCGATAGAAAACGGCCCAATATTTTTGTAGGCCACCTTTTTTTTTATCGATTTTTTTATCTTACGAACGAAGTGGAAAGCAAATGGTTATTTACGAGTTTTTAGTACCAAATTAAATTGACAACGTTTGCGAACCTCCAGCTTGAAAAGCCCCAATTCCGTGAATTTTCATAAATATATTATTTGTAGGTTATGATGAGATGAAGCTATTTACGAAGTTTCAGCCGGATGTTAATAATTTGATAAAAGGAGATCTGTACCACGGACTATAATCTCAAAGAAGTTTAGTAATGAACAATATGATTTGATTTCACCTAAAAAGGGGGAGGATTAAAATGAACAACAGAAGTTGTCAAAGGAATATACTAGTGATCCTAAATATCATAAAAATCGCTATATAAAATTAATATTTCAGTTTATATTTAAAATATATTGAAACAATATTTAGGTATTGAGTTTTCTTCTTAACAAGAATTACACTTTCTGCGAAAAAAGGCAGATTACTTAAAATATATATTAAGGATTATAAAAATGCAATATCGGAAAAAAGGTTTTTTATCTATGAACATCCTTTTTCTAGCTAATGCCCTCATTAATCTGCTGATTTTTTTAATAAAACAAAAATCATGCTATTTTAACAGTAATTTTAAAAAATTAAAACCTTGAAACTCAGTATTCTGTAAACTCCTGTTGATTTTACTATTTCTTAGGATTGCTGATAAACCTATTTTAAAATTTTCTGTTCTCTGTTACTTTATAATTAACTGTTATAAAATGTTCGTATAGAATCTTACTGCCGTAATACATGTAGTGCTTTCCAACGGACACAGTGATGCTCTTCGCTGTTTCCTCGTCAGTACAATGAGCAGCTGTTAGGACGTGCCATGGAGTAATGATGGATCCACCACACCCGTTGCTAAGAGACACCATCCAAGGATACTCGTTCTTACGGGTCTCCTTTCCACCAACGATCCTTCCCTGAAATATAAAAGATGGATTTTAAGAAAAATAAAATATTGTAACCATAACGACAGCTGCTCTAAAAACCATCTTACCGAGTTTCTCCACCCGCAATTGCAACTGAGATTAGAGTCCCGATTAGATTTAGTGCTACGAGCCCACGACAGACAGGCTAACATCAAACATACCAGTAGCACCTTCATTTCTGAATTTCTATAAGAAAACAAAAAACTAATTCATTTTTATTTATGAGTAGATTCATTTTGATTCAATTTATATTAGTATAAATACATCAAGTAAACGTGCGTAGAGGAATACAATCACTGGAAAACGTTTGTTGAGAAACTGCCTATTGGTAGTAATCTAATAATATGTCTACATAAGGAGATCACGAGGCCATCTTCTTTTCAGACGCCTCGGAGCGTTATCAGTAGAGACCGGATTTCCATGTTATTGCACTTTTTATTCGGTTGCGTGTAAAAACGTCGGACCCGAATATCTATCCGTTTCAGGACCTGTACGATATCATATTTAAATTTTATATTGCACGTTTTGACGTGTTTGGCTTCTTAGAAAATCCAGTCTCTAGTTATCAGAAATCGAAGAGGAAGAAAGTCTAGAAATAAGAGAATTCGGATGGTTATGAAGTTTATTATCGAAGGATATTGAGTATTTGGTTTCCATTTGACTATAAAGTAAGTATTCATCATTATAACGTGATATTAATACGGTGTTTCAACATTTTCACCTTACATTAAATCTAGACAGTTTTTTTTTCTTCTTGAATCGTGAATTTGAGCTCAGACCTCCAAAACTTGAACATATTCCAACATTGGAGTAAGATCTGTTTATTGAGAAATGATACATTTTGCCACACTCAAGGGCACTGAGTACTAAGGCTGAGTGAGGCACATTCTATACATATAATACCATAAAAAAAATATATACATCTATATAACAAAGGTAAAAACTGTAATAAACCAAGGAAATGTAACTTAGAGTTAAAATTAAATAAAATACAGAAATTCGTATGAAAATTAAATAAATTATAAGTAATAGAGATAAATAGAAAAACATTCATACTTATTTTTTTTATTTTATTTTTTTTATTTCTTAAAGACATTTAGAACTGTATTAAATAAATACATCTAGTAAATTAGAACATAATGTATATAATGACATGAAAAATACTTTCTAAGTAACTACCCAATGGTAGCACTCTAATGATATGTTTACATTAGGAGATCACGGGGCCATCTTCTTTTCAGACGCCTCGGAGGGTTATCAGGAATTGATGAGGAAGCAAGGCTAGAAACGAGAGGGTTGGGATGATTCTAAAGTTTATTATGGAAGGATAGGTATCTGGATTGGGCCAGATCTGAAACAAAAGAAACATTAAGGTCATTATGGATGGTTTTATTGGTAACAAAGTAGGGAGCATTGAGAATTTTACGAAGGATTTGATTGTAAGGATTGGATGCGTTTGATGTTCGAAAATTTAGTTGTCCCCCACAGTTCAAGTCCGTAGGTCCAGATGGGTTTGAGTATGGTCTTGTATATTAATAGTTATATTGGATACGAGAGGAATTCGATGGTTTAGTGGAGCCCCATAGCTCAACTCCGTAAGTCCAAATAGGCCTTATTATAGTCAAGTATATGAGTCTTTTGTAATTAATTGGAAGATTAGAGCGTTTGTCTAGTAAGTGCTGAAGTAACCGGAAACGTCGAGCGGTTTCTTGTCGTTTCAGTCTAGTATGAGGATTCCAAGTTAGTCGTTTGTCCAGGTAGAGACCTAGGTATCGGATTTGCTCAACAGGGATAAGTGGATTATTGTTAAAGGAAACTGTAGGACAGGAAGTTGTTGGTTTACGACGAAGGGTAAAGGTAATTTGGTGGGATTTATTGGAGTTTATTTTAATTCTCCAGTTTTGACACCATTCTTCAAGATTTATGATGTGTGATTGAAGCATTTGGGATGCAATTGCTGGGTCATTATCTACTGATAGGATACATGTGTCATCGCCATATATTGTGATGACAGTGTTGGGATAGGTAGGGATGTCAGCTGTATAAACTGTATAGAGGATAGGGCCTAGGATACTACGTTGAGGAACACCAGCGGACTGGGAATTCATACTTAAATACAATATTTACAAACAGGCAAGATATCTCCGAGTCCAGCCCTTTCCCCCACGTGTGAAGGACAAAGCGAGACTCTAAGAGATCTCAGCGCTTCTCTCTCAACCGCGTCGCCGGCATTACCAGTCCGGTGGAGGCTGAAAGAGGGCACTAAAACCACAAATACTCATGACTTGAGTGGAGAAGCTGGTCATTCCCAGAACTCCAGTGACGTCTTTACAAGAGATCTCGAGGCCACTGACGTTTCCACCTTCGAGGAGGGTTGTAGGGATGACTGGAGCTAGATAAGGATAGTGCTAAAGGGTTAGGATGGTGGATTAGGTTCGTGTGAAAATTTGAGAATCGGGATGGAATAACATCAAGGATACGAAGGATGTAAAGGTCATGATGTAGGGTTTTGTTTGTAACGTAATGAGGAACATTGACTATCATACGGAGGACTTTAGACTGAAAGGATTGGATGTGTTTGATGTTCGAAAATTTAGTTGTCCCCCACAGTTCAAGTATATAGGTCCAGATGGGTTTGAGTATGGTCTTGTATATTAATAGTTTGTTTTCTATTGATAGATTGGATTTTCTGTTAAGTAGTCTGTATAGCTGGCCAAATCGTCGGTTAAGTTCTTGTCTTTTAAGTCTGGTATGTGGGTTCCAAGTTAGTCTTTTGTCTAAAAGGAATCCAAGATACCGAACTGTGTCTGAAACGGGGAGAGGTACAGAGTTGAAAAGGATATGTGGACAGGATCTGCGTCGGAGGCTAAAGATGACATGCTTGCATTTGGATTCATTGATCTTAATGCGCCAATTGTTGCACCATTGCTCAATTAGGGAGATGTGTCTTTGTAGATTTAAGGATGCTGTTTCAGGATCTAAGTGGTATGACAGGATCGGAGTAAGATAAGATGACAAAAATAAATTGGTTTTGGTGTATGAAAATGAGAGCAAAATAGTTTAAAGGACAACGTTAGTTTCTTAATTACATATAATGGCTAGGAAAATGCAATTTATTTTTTTATTCGGCTCTTCTTTTCTATTATCGGGGTTTAATTAGATATCCCCACCAGAAAAATGACAGTAATATCACTAACTGACCACCAAAAAACCACCTACACCACCTATGATGATAATATTGCTTCAGTTACGACTTATCAAATGATTATGTGGGATTCCCCACAGGTACACCTACTAACTTCGTCATCTATCTTTTGAATTATATAAACATAGGTATTTATGTTTTGAAAGATGGTAGTCTACACAGCAAAGTTGAAATTTATCATCCTAGATCGAGCATAGTAATAGTTTTTGCGCCAGCCAATATTATGACCAGAGCCCGATTTTTATACAGTAAAAAAAAGTTAAACAATGCCAAATGAATATGAAATTAGTTAAAACACTATTTCCTAGAAACTCTAGAAGTTTGCTCCTAGTAGACTAAAAAAGTCAAAGTCAGGATTCTTAAGAAAAAAATTCTGCTTAAACACAGATCAGACATAATTAGTAATAATTAAAAACACAATGTAAGATATTTATTGACCTTTTAACGACAGTGGACTCGCATATGAGTCGAGAGCCTGTCGGGCTCTTCTCTTGAAATTGCGATGTGCTTAGTGATGCAACTCTATTTTCAAATTATCTCGCGACTTTCCTAGGAGACATAAGGTAATTTTTTGTTTGGATATTAAGGAAACTTTTTTTATGACCTCAGCAGCTAACCCTTGCGACCCATACCTGACGGGCTCTTGTCTCCTTTTATACCTGTATTTATACCTTCAACAGATCTATACTGATCTTGAGTTGACAATAAAATGCAAAATCCAATAAGATCTTTTTTGATCTATTCTGCAATTTGGCACTAAAATAGATCTTTTTGCGATTTTGCTCTAAAAGTAATCTTCTCCTTTGTGACAGATTGTAATGTTATCAATGAACAAGTTAAAATAAAAAAAAAATAATAAAAATCTGTTTGTAATTTGACATAAAAAAGATCTATTCTTGTGTCTTCCTTGAGTTGATTATATAACCAATTTACGTTAAACTAAATATCTAATTATATAAATTTAACAAAGGTATCGGCATCGAACCTTTTAGTTTGTCTAACCTAAGTAGTTTAAGTGATAATAAAAGTCTTTTAGTTTTATTATTATTATCATCAATTTAATGAAAAAAAATTGAAATTTCCTTGAAATAGCCAAATATTTGTCTAGAAAGCATTAGCAAGTAATATCCTTGACGAAAAAACAAAACATTTGTGTATTGAGTCAGAGGAAGTGGTTAATTCCCTACTTTGATTCCAAGAATGATTTCCTGTTTACGGACGGCGTTTCATTTGATTATCTTATTTAATGCTTTATAGTTTGCAAGATACATAACGTGGACAATTCTCTTTGTTTACATTCTGAAATAAAGGAATAAGGTTCCTCCTAGTTATCAAATCTCCGACAACGTATGTTACATTATATCCCCATTGCTCGCTGTTGACTTATTTGATAATTTTTCGACAAAGACCTGGCTTTATCAAAAGGCTGTGCGACAGATGTACTACAGGATTGACTTTGCTGCCATCGCTTTCATGAAAAAGGTTACCGACTTTCCAAAGAAAAATAAGCATATAGGCTTATTACTACCGGAACGGACTGATTTATAAAAATCCTTTTTATTATAAATATATAATTATAAGTCTTATAATTATACATTTCAGGAATATTCTTATTTTTCTGATGAAATAACAAATATTATTTGAATATTTAATTGTATGATAATATTATTTTATTTTAATTTGTTTTTCATTCAAATAAATTTAATAATATTAATTACAAAGGGTCTCAAGTGAACGGTGGTAACTATTGTTTGTTAATTATTGATGTACACATCTTAATGAAGGTTTTCAAAAAATTTTCAAAAAATGGATGGAATCTAAAAATTTTCGGTGGAAGGAATGCACAGAATTGCCATGGAACTTCCAAAATTACATAAACTGTGAAATGGTTCCCGATGAGTAAAATAAATGTTGTTTTTTTAGTATTTCTATACTCTAAAAATTGGAAAAGCATTTTAGTGGACATTAACAAATATTTTATAATAATTGTGTG